TATGATTTTCATAGAATTGGAATGAATTATATTCATGGTTGGAAGTCGACCAATTTGACAGATAAAAAATTCTTCTTCATGGAATGGGGCTTTAAAATAAAAAATCTTTGTTATTTGTTAAATGTGCAGAATGTAATCGAAATTTAAAATTAATATGACAGTTGTTAGTGATTGGTGGGGAATTGCAAATGGAAAGTATTTCATTTCTCACAGTGCATGAGCCTCAAGGCTCGAGACGTCAGACAGCTGATGGTGTCCTTTCAATGAGCCTCCGTTACTTTTTTATTCGATTGCAACATCAAACGAATGAGTGCTGACAGTGTCATTTGACTCATTTCAATGAGCCTCCTCCATTTCTTTTTAATTGATTGCATCCGTAAACAATGAAATGTTTTTTATTTGTTATAAGTACTTAGACAATAAATGTTGATGTCTTTATATTTGATGGCATGTATAATGAGCCTCCGCTTTTTCTAGACATTGAAATTTTCGTATTGGCTGATTGTTAGTCTGTTTTTCATATAAAGTTTTTTTTTTTTTTTCTTCATAAAACCGACTTGGAGATGAACTGTTTTTGTCTCCGGGTTACGTTGCACTGATGTGAATGATGTGTTTTTATGGATTTTAACATAGAACACATCTGATTCAATTAAAATCTTAATGTAATTATATATATATATATATAATAGTATTTATAGATCTTAACATATAAAATATCTATAATTATATTTAAAATAATAAACAAATATTTTTATATATTATATTATATACTAAAATATATACAAAATAATTTTTAATATATTATATATTTGATTACACCCCTTTCAAATATTTAATTAATTTATTTCAAAAACATATTCCTGCAATTATGTCAAAACTGTCAAATCACTCCTTGTATTGGTTACATATTGTTATGACACCCTTACCACTGTCATTAATTTATTTCAACTCTCCAATCCAAAACAGAAAATAAGAATTGTTTTTCTACAATCATTAACCCCTGCAACGCAGGGGTCACCCCGCTAGTTCAATTTGAAGCTGATTAGAATCGAGCTCAAGTCATGTTTAGTCGCGTTCAAGCCCAAACCATTAAATTAGTGACCAATTCAATTGCACCCGCAGGTCAAGGTGTTGGAATGTCTTTTTATTAGTCCCAATGGTGAAGGTCATTTTGTAAGAGACCTTTTTCGCGAAATAAATGCTTATTCCAAGTGTTTATCTAATAAGTACTTATTAATATTGGGAGGAATTCAAACAATGCTCCCAACACTGTTTCCACGTGCCATTACAATTGCACGTTGAAATATCATGACAAGGGAGATATTCCAATGTGTGGTTATGGTAGCTTATTGTGACAATGTTTGGAGTATTTTGTTTGTAGCTGATCCCTACCCATCTTGGGAGGTGATTTTTTTGGAATTATTTATGCTTAAAACAAACGCTTTATTCGTATTGAGTGTTTGGCGAATTGTTTATCCCCTAAATGCATATTCAATGAAAATAACAAATTTCACCTTTACTTAACATAGGCATATATTAGATATAGAAAGAAAAAAAGAGAAAAATGTTGTTATAAATGAACATGGGTAACAGTTTTCTCCCTTGGTCGCTAGTATTACAAGGAAACAAGTGAATGGAAGAAGAACGATGGAGAAACAATAGGCTTTCCTATAGTGTTTTGAACCTTTGATATCGAATACCTTATGTAAAAATAGGTCAAAAGATGGGGATAAGATTGGAAGAAAAAAGGAAAAAAAGTGTTTATCCAATAAACACTTAGGCTGCATTTGGCATTCCTTATTTTCAAGACTTATCTCTTTTTTGTTGTTAAAATGTCATTGTAAAGACTAAGTTTTTAACTACAAAAAGGAGATAAGCCCTTAAAATAAGGAATGCCAAATGCAGCCTTAATAAAACTAAAAAATTGAGCACATTTTTTAAACAGTAATTTCAAATAAGTACTTATTTGGGGTTTATTAATCAAATGCAAATAAACTTATTTTGGGATTTTCTATGATCCCAATACTTAAAAAATAAGTACTCCCAAATAAGGGCTAAGACACATCTATTAAAAAATAGTTTGAGTAGAGATGATAACTGTGATTTGGCCAAGCTCGGATCCACGCCAAACCCACATATAGTACAAGATGGGCCATTGTGACTTGGGAATATCTCCTGTATTTGTATGTTGTCATTCATGGGAGATATTTTCAATTCACGGCTGCGACATGCTGTAAAGTTGGACACCAAAGAAAATAGTAAAAATAAAACAAATACAAAATATCAGTCACATATGTGTCTCACAGAGGGCGCCCACAAACGCCCCACAGCATATCCCAATCGTGTATTGGAAACATCTCCCATCCACAAATATTCCCAATGCAGGTTGAGATGTACATGTGGGGCGCAGATTTGATCTCTTATCTTCCTTAGAGGGTTTCATACATGATAATAGGCCTGTAGGTGTAAAGCAAACATGGACTGTTGTAATTGGACCCACATCGTGTTTGATAACAGCTGAAGTGGCTGAACAACCTGAACTGAAAAGCTCATCGCTTTGTTTTCTTAGTGAATAAGATGCTAAACCAATGGTAACCATGATAGTGGACTCAGAGGACCCTGCTGTGTGTATCTGCCTTGGTTATGTTATTTGGGTTTCTTATTTCATGGAGATGTCATCTACATTTGGAGATAAATTTGACATTTAGTGATGTTCATGGATAATCTAAGAGAACTTGAATAACTGAAAGTGGTATTGGTGTGCCAAAGAAAAGGAGAGAGAGAACAGGTTGGGATTGCAGCGGTGTTGGAGGACATAGTGGAGGTGCCGATGGGTGGTGACAGTGTTAGTTGAAGAACAAAGAAGGGGGGGAGTCCAGATGTCTGTTGACAGTCTCAACTCCATTAAGTTTATTGGGCTTCAAAAAGGAACGACATGGCATAACTTCAAAGAAATTTGGCGTTGGTCAGGGCACAATTCATTCGAACAGCTTTTACAGTCAAGCATTGAAAATATCTCCTTGCTTATATGTTTTATTTTATGGAGAGAAATTTCCAATGCAAAATTGCAAAATGCGGATGGAACGGTGTGGGCACGGGCTTGTCCTGATGGTTAAAGGGGCTGAAACTAAAAGCCTGAAACTAAAGTTGAGTACATTTACGTTAAATTAACCTTGTATAATTTGTTGCATGCAACCCTCAATGAAACGTGACCCGGTGACCATATTAGTCTATTGTTTTAAATCAAACACTGATATTTTGTTTTTTCTTTCAAACACCGACATATTTAGTGAAAAATGTGATTGCAACAACTTCAGCTGTCAACAAACAGCCTCCGGGCATAATTCTCATCAGGATCAGATGCTTGTACTACTATGCGGCTAAATAACCAAACATCATTAAACATGCCATTGTAATGGTGTGAGCAGAAGATCCGGGCTTGACACATAATAATGAATCACCACTGTACTTTGGTCGAGGAGGTTCAAGTATAATGCATTGGCAAGGTGCCAATCATGGGTTGGGGGATGGGCTACCCAGTAGCCCTTCAAAAGATATAAAAAAAAGTATAATGCACTTCTTAATACATTGTGTAGCCCAGCACCTGAGATTGGTGCCCCTACCCCCCTAACCATAGAAGGAGACTATACCTTAAAATGGTTAGGGAAGAAGGATAGTAGCCCTTTGTGCCTAATGCACCACCTGGATTAGGGGTGGCAATTGGGCGAGTTGGTTTGGGTTGAGTTTCAACCCAATCCATCTAACCCGTCAACCCATTAATGATCCAGTTATATAAAATTAAATGGGTTGGGTTCAACTCAGACCGTTTTAACCCAATCCAATCTGTCCAAACCTATTAATCTTATATTTATGGACTTGAAAAACAAACTCTCTCTCTTAACAAATAAGTTGGTTGTAGCTTGGTGGTTATTGTAGTTATTATTTACGCAAGTGGTGAATGTTCAAATCACATTGCATGCATATTATTTTTATACAAGCGGCGAAGCCATTTGAGTATATTCGGATTCCGGGTTTGATCGAACCACTTAAGTTCAAACCGGTCGGACCAACTTAAACCACTTAGGTTCAAGGGTGGTTGAACCATTTCGATCGGGATCAATTCGATCGGACCGGACCGGTTCAGTCAACGGTGGATTGACTTGAACCGAACCATATCAAGTTTGCGCACGGGCTCGGGACCGGACCGGCTGACCTAACCGGGTCAATGTAGCTAAATCGGGTCAGTCCTGATTCGGGTTGATCCATGTGGATATTAGTCGAATGGACAACCCAGATCGGGCAAAGCATGCAAAGGCCGAACCATCCCGCCCAAAACCATTTCAAATTCGGGTCAACCCGAATCGACTTGTATCGGGCCAGGACGGAGTGTGTGAATATTGGTTTGACCGGATGGCCCAAATCGGATAGAGTAGGCGGCGCCGAACCATCCTGCTCGGGGTCTATTTCGGATTCAGGTCGAGCCAAATCAATATATATTGGATCAGGTAAGCCTGCGTTGAACTAATCTAGACTTGGGTCAAATTGATTTGGATTTATGTTAGGTGAAATATATTGACTCAAGACAAAACTAAATTTAGTCAATTATTAATAGAAAATTAATACATTAATTATATTATTTAATTCAAATGAAAAAAAAGGCTAAAGAATTAACACTTATGTCTATAATGGTTAACCCAATGGTATCTACAACCCAACCCAACCCATTTAAATGGGTGGATTGGGTGATGGGTTGATCACACAACCCGCCAAGTAAATGGGCGGGTTAAAAATTGCCACCCCTAACCTGGATGAAGCAAGAGATATTATGGCTCGGTTAACTGTAAAATTGAGATAAAGATGAACCCCTAGGGCCCTAAATTCAATGGTCGACAGTCTAGCAAAATCAGGGATTCATAAGGACTCTTTGTTTAGTGATTGTATGCTACCTTTGTAATTTTCTGGCGTAGTCTTTTCTGAAGCTGTACGCATACAGAGAGAGAGAGAGAATCAAATGCTATCATTCTTCCCTGATACTCATACATGTGATGCTAAAAATACATCAAACTGTCCTACGCAATACACCTCTTGGACCCATGTTCAGTGAATGTTCTCAATCTCTCCTCCCCTACAAACTTTGAAATGGTATAGGATCGTCAACCAGTGGAATTTCTTGGCCTCCAGCCCAATAACAAGTGCATGTAGGGAAATGTTCTTTATTGCTAAGAGAATTTACAGAGGATAAGCACATATTTAAGAGAACACGGGTACCATTCCCTCCAAGGTAGGTAGAAATCGGTCCTGTCTCGATCATATCCTTATCTATTAAGAGACTAGAATTCATGCATCACTTGCAAGAACTTTTATGTGACAATAACAAGCCATCCTATGGAACCACACATCATCCCTGAAGAACTTACTCTGTCAATAACCCCGCAATTGAGCATCTCGACTAGTCAGTGGAACATAACGGACAGAGGTTTCACTATAGACACTGATGGTGCCATCGAGCTTCTTGTCTACTACCTTCAAATCCTGGAAAACGTTTCCAACAGGAATCACCATCCTGCCCCCAGGCTTCAGCTGGTCAATAAGTGGTTGAGGTATCTCTGGTGCTGCTGCTCCCACATGAATGGCGTCATACGGTGCAAACTCTGGCCAACCTAGCCTGCCATCTGTGTCCAGTCAAGTGATAATCATGAGATTATCGTTAGCATATACCACAACAAATTTTTGCTAACTCATTAGGAGTCAAGATAACAAAAAAATCTTACTTCAAATGGGTTTCAGGGTAATTGTACTGTTATTAATGACATCAACAAATTTCCATAACAAATCACACGCTGGTATCTTTTCCCTTTTCCAAAGGATGACTATTGCTATCACCACCATGGTATGATTATGTGTCTTCCTTTTATTTGCACCTAAATTCTGGTATCAATAGGCAGTGGTGAGGAGGGTTTCAAACCCAGGCCGTGGTAACCACCAAGCATTTCATGCAGACCTTCACAGCCACCACCCTTCCCCTGGATTTTGGTGGAAACATCAAGCACCATAAATGATTCCAAGAAAACAGTCACCAAGCAAGGAAACAATTCTCCTTAGATGTTTCCCATGTTTACTCTGTATCTCAAACTAATGGAAGTGGGACCTTAGCCTAGTTGCATTCTCCAAAAACCCTGCCATATTTACTGATATCACTTTATAGGCCATAATTCTTATCTGCAATAGGAAACATGACTTGTAAAGATTAGGTTTGTTGGACATACCACCAACATGAATGGAGAGGGAACCTTCTTTCAACAATGGTGCTGCTGGAGTCTTCTTGATATTCTCGATGGAAGATGTAACCAACTCAGGAATGTGTTCTACACCAACTGCACGGCCTTGTGGTCCAACCATTAATGCAAAACATGCTGTCAAGTAGCCCGTTCCTACATAAAAATCAGTTAGAATACAGATGACAAGAGCAGCACAGACATCTACTTCCATGAGTTATCAATTATAATATAACAACAGCCTTGTCGAGCATTTCAAGGTAAAACTGGTCTTGAACCATCTGGAGGAGGTAGGAATTAGTATAAAAAAGAAGTTTTTGATGAGCCAATTCAGAATACATTTCCATTTCAAACAGACAAGAGGACAAGCCATCTCGGACAAGAATGTACTATCAAGTACCAATAATCACTGCTGAATTGGTTAAGAGGACATAGATGAGTCACACCACTCTTCTTGAACCATTTCTCAGGCATGGTCTCTCTCTCTCAAACTTCTTTTTCTTCTTCTCCCAGGGCTTACATGACCTCAGCTCAAGGTATATTTGATAATGCAGCTTACCTCATAACAAAAATAGTGAATCATAACATCTATAATTATTTTTTACTGAATGGTAGTGCCATCTACCAAAAAAATTAAATTTTTATTAGCAACAAGACTAAAAAAACTTACCAAATGGTAGGCAAAAGAACACAGTGGGCATAGTTTACTTGGTAAAAAATAGTAATGTTATAGTATTTTATTGCTGATAAAATCTCTGGCTGGTTGTAGTGGAGACCTAGGATCAAATCCCACTTCACCAAGGATTTTTATTTATTTATTTTTTTGGGGGGTGGTGGGGGAGGGGCTTGGGTGAGGGAAATCCCCACTGTGTAGCCTATTCACCTAGCAAAAGTAAAACTGCAGCACTTAATTTTTATTTATTCATTTAATAATTGATAAGAAAAATGATGTACATACTACATACATAATTGCCAAGCCTTCTAAGTTGGGATAGCTTTTGTTACCTACTTCTATTCATCATTTTACAACATTTTCTTGCAAGCTTCCATCTTGTGAAGTCACCCTCCCCCAATAAAGTTGGCTTCCAGGCCCCTGGCTGCACTTTGTCTTGCCAATTCATCATCCAAACAGTTGGCTGATCTTGACGTACAGTTGAAAGTCACCCCAAGTTCTCCAGCCAAATTTTTTACATTCCCTATAACATGTCTCTACATAGAAGCACCTCTACTGTTTTGGTCAAACCACTCCAAGATTACATTAAAATTCCCTTTCACTACCAAGTCACTGTATCATACCAAATTGCAACAATACCTCTGTATATGCAGAGGGTACCATGGCCCAATGGAGTGGGTCATCAAAATCTGAACTGAACTTGTTTGAAGACTCAAAACCCTAAGCTGACCCCACACCCAATTAAACCTGACCCTAACCCGATCCTATAGGCTATAGGGCCGGGTCAAGTTGGGCTTACCATTTAACCTGACCCATTGAAATCCCTATCAAGTCCCCATATCCAATGGAGCCAGGAGATAATGCTAAGATGTTGCCATCATTATTTCTAAAAACTCCAGTTCCTAAACATGCAGAGTTCCCTGAATTTCATTATCAAAATTAGCCTGATGACATTAATTTCTAGAGGAGATCAAATGCTGTTTATAGATACTCTTACCAATGATGATTCACCATGATAACCAATTATGGATGATGCCAGTGGTAGAGAATGTAGTGAACACTTCCAAAGTTTTTATCCAATAAGCTACCTTAACAGAAATGTTTCAATTAATGCTCCTTCATTTGACTTATATCTTCAAAAATTTTGGTGTTCCTTTCCTCCCAAAACCACCCATAGTAAAACTGCTCTTGTGAGCATTCACACTTAAGACTTTTTCACCTTGAGGTACCTTGGCCAGGCCTTCCCTAAAGGTATAGATGAATTAGAGGGGACATCTTTAATCTTTTACAAAGAAGAGTCATTTTCTATACAACAAAAATACTCTAAAGAACTCTATAGTCACTCTTTTTTATATCTTGAAGCATTAACCTGAAATGGCTCTGGAAACATTGATATCCCCATATGTCCAAATGCAAAAAGAATAATAGAAAGTACAATAAAGCAACTTGTACCAGCTTCTACTATCCCGGTGAAACAGATCGGAGTAGGAATGTAACAGGCCAAAGTTTGCATAAGAAAGTCAAGCGCCAAAAATGGAGGAAGTGTAATACCTGAACCAACATCTAACGCGTGCATGCCTGGTTGCAAATTCTCCTTCAAGAGCTCAAGACATGTGGCATGCATATGAGGTGCAGATATGGTGGCATTATAGCCTATCTGCATGGGGCTATCGACATAAGGGGGGTTTCCATCGGGTACAAACAATCCTCTATCAATAGTCTCCATCACTTCGGCTACTTTCCTTGATCTAATTACTCCGTAGTGCTGCAACTTTTCCACTAGCGTTTTGTTCTCTTCGATGCCACCTCTGCTCCAGAATCGCTGTCAAATTATCGTGAAACAAACTCAATGCAATTCTCTTCTTCAATGTGAAGCTCAAAAAATAAAGGCAATACATGACAATGCTCACGCCCACAGATGAACAGATTGGCTTAGGGACAGAATTTGATATAAGGCAGAAGGCCAACTTCGGGGGGAAAATAAGGCGGCAAAGAACATATTTCCTGCTCCACAGGTGGACAACACTAAAGTTGATGCACACAATAGATTCACTTTGTGCTGTAAGCATGAATGACCTTCAATGGAAACAGAGGCGAAGGGACATCGTCCCACAGGACCAGATTCGGTTGGAAAGAAACCGCAGAAGCAGGATAAACTATGAAGAAGAACACAATTGCTCCTTACGTCCTCCTTTGAGGCCATAATTACTAATAGAATCCACCAAAATGAAATGATAAAGAAAAAGAAAACTCGTTGTCGCAAATAAGAGAGATGACTCTTGAAAATTACGCAGTAGATGGGTAATCAAGAAGGTTTTTTACCATTTTTCTACTGATCTATGGATAATTTGTTAATCCAAATTATTCCACGAGTTCTGAATCACTATATCTCGACTTACCCTAAAAACCCGAAAACTCAAAACGATTAAAATAAAACGAAAGAAAAGATGGACGATAAAACCCACGTTTTTTTCAACTTCACTCACTAAAAATTTTCAAATTAGATAAAACGAAAGAAATAAACTGAAAGCAAATAGTTCTATCAACATAACTGAGGGCCAAATTCAATGAAACGAATAAAAGATGAAAAAGAAAGAAGAAAGAAGAAAGAAGAAAGAAGCATACCTCCATTCTCAAGAACAGAGAGTTCCCCGTGAAAAGCCTAGGATTGGGTGGACAGAACGACGAAGGAGTTAACGGGTGAGCAGAGAGCGTGCCAAGGAAGGGTGGAGGACGACGATGGAGGAGGGTGAAGGCTACTAACTGCTTTAGAGGCGCACAATAGCGGCATCCATAAGCTATTGAGAAGAACGGCATCCCAATTCTAGCAGATTCCCCCATTTTCATAATAATAATACTGAAATACTCCCAGGTGTCAGACTGTCAGTCTTCTTTCATGTGGACTCAGTACTCGCACACACCGCCTCTTTCACATTCACACGTGTCTGCTCTGTAACTCGAATCAAAGATTCCAAACACAACCCCTATGGCGCTGGTACATGTCGATCGTCATCTCACCTGTAGCAGAGTAGCCGGATGACTGGGATCCTTTGACCTTTTGTAACATATTATTTTATGGAGCAGATCCTGTTCACGGGGCAGTGCTGCTCTGCTCCATACTCACAAATCAGAATTCAGAGGAGCCAAGCACACCGATTTATAAATGACACGTGTTGTGCAGGTATCCACTTTGGTTTAAGCCAGTCAGCTAGCTAGTTTCATTGTTGATGAATAATTTTTTTTCTGTAAATTACAAAGATCCCCTTGTACTATAGGGTCAGTGATAAAGTCCCCCTTGTACTTTTTTTTTGCAATAAAGAGCCCTTAAAGTTTAGCCGTTAGACAAAGACCTCCTTCCGTTAACGTTCTGTTAGTTAATTTCTAAAAAATTTTCATCCGACAGTTTAAAGTTTTTTAAATGTCTAAATTACTCTTTTTATATTGTTCATTGTCTTCTCCATTGAAGTTAGAAATGGCTACAATAAAAAACAACGGTTTTGAAACATTCAATAAAAAACATTAATGGAATAAAGGGGGTTTGTGTCAAGAATAGACCTGTTCATGGGCCGGGCCGGGTTGGGCTTTCACTTTGTATTAATAGATTTTTCTAAGGCCCGAGCCTGAGCCCGACCTGACCATCGGGCCTACAACTTGGGCCCGAGCCCGACCCTCATAAAAAGCCCGAAGCCCGAGCCCGAAATTTATCCCATATTGTTACTACTGTTGAAGCGGCTGAATATATATAGATAGATAGATAGATAGAGAGAGAGAGAGAGAGAGTATATAAAGAAAAGAATAAAAAATGTATATATTAAATTATAAATATATATTTTAATAAATATTATATTATTTATATATTTTATAAAATATATAATGCCGAGTCAGGCCGGGCCGGGCTTTTTTGACAAATCCCGAGCCCGACCCGAAACACAGTCGGGCTTACTGTGTTAGGCTCAAGGTCAGGCCCGCGAGCCTAATTACATGACCAAGCTCGACCAGGGTGCGAGCTGGGCCATCGGGCTACCCTGCCCATGAACAGGTCTATTCTAGTCAAGAAGACGAGAAAGGAGCTAAATAAGCTCCAGGGTGAACCAACAAAGGCATTGTAACTCAATCAACTCACCCTTGTAAATGACCATGATGTTTTGAACATGGAAGGGAAGATAACCAGCAATTAAAACAAACAAAATCACTCTGCACGACTAGATATCCATTTCCTAGGATAAATAGGTTTTAAGAGAAAAAGGGCAAGAAAAAGAAAATAAAAAAAAGTTTAGTGGGGTATTTTGATAATTTAATGCTTTTCATCATGTGACTTAACGGCTAAGGGGGTCTTTGTTTAACGGCTAAAATTCAGGGGGTCTTTGTCGCAAAAAAAAGTACAGAAGGACTTTATTACTGACCCCATAATACAAGAGGGGTCTTTGTAATTTACCCTTCTTTTTTTTAACTACTTATTGGATAGTCTTTTCATTGATTTTTGGATAAAAGAAGATAAGTTAAATATTAAGGCCGTGTTTGTCAAGTCTTTTCGTGCGGGCTTTGGGCTAGTTAGAAGCTCGGAAGCCTGAATTATGGGCTTTTCCTAGGGGTGTAAACGGATCGAATTCGAATAAGATCAAACAAATATCTGAATTCGAATTCGATTAGAAAATACGATATCCAAATTTGATTCGATATCCGACAGATATTGAAAATTAATATCCAAATTCGAATCTGATTAAATATTCGAATATTCGATTCAATTCAAATTTGATTAATTAATTATTTTAGATAATTAATAAATATATAAAATAAATATTTTATTGATATAAAGTATATAAATATATAAATTATTTATATAACTTAATTATTATATAAAATATTTTATATATTATATATAAGAATTAAATAATCGGTTGAATTCGGATATTTATCGAATCGAATCAGGTCATATCCGAATTCGAATCCGATTAACTATTCGGTAAGAATAGGATATTCGAATTATCCAAATTTGGTTCGATTATGTCGAATATCAAATTCGAAATCGGATTTTCGAATACCACTGATACCCCTAGCTTTTCCCATTTGGCAATGGAAAGATCTATAGGGAAAAAGCTCCAACCCATAAAAGACGCCAATTTGGGCTTTTTCAAGAAGCTTCAAATGAAGCTTTTACAATCTTTTAGCACCCCATCTTCTTCGAACATGTGGCATGATGCACACGCTTTGGAGAAAATTGGTTATCTTTTCATAAAAAAATTTGAATGTAAGTGGGACTAACCAATGGTATGTGGGACTCACCTTGGAAAATGTATATGGGGCCCATATACATGTCCACACACATGGACCCACATGCATGTCCACCAATGGCATATGAGACTCACCTTGTAAAATGTATGTAGGCCCCACATACATGTCAACTCATAGACCCCACATACATGTCCACCAATGATATATGGGGCCCACTTGAAAAATGTGTGGAACCCACATACATGTCCACACACATGGACCCACATGCATGCCCACCAATGGCATGTGGTATTTAGGCCCCACATAGATGTCCACAAGAAGCAAGAAGCAAGAAGCTCTGGTGCCAAGCAAGGAAGCCATCCACAATACCCACGAAATGCCCCCCAACTGTGCATGAATATGTTACCAGAAAAAAAGAGATCAAATCTGCCCCCTACAACGTTCTACATCACATCCCTGTCGTGTATAGGAAACATCTTCCGATAATAATACCAKAAATGAACTAGGAAATGTTTTCCATACACGGCAGGGATATACTGTAAGACGTTGTGAGGCTGATTTGAACTCGACTTTGTGGGGGACAATTTTAGGCAATTAGCCAGTCTCTAAAATTGTTCTCGACATTTTTTCAAGGAATAACCTTGTTAACAGCATCCATTGCCTATGTTTCATTGATGGGCACAGACAGGGACCTACCAAGATTGACGCAATTTTCCGGAATCCAGATGCATTCGTTTTAATTTTTGTTTCTTTAGATCTTCAGCATTTCTTTAATAAAATAAAGACTGTGACCCCTTTAAAGTTTAAACTGGATAGAGAAGACTCTAATGCAATGTGCATGGTTTTTCTGTTAATTTTAGAGCAATCGGCATCCACATTAAACCCATGTAATATGACTAATAACTAATAACAGATCTGTGCATTTTTTTTTTTCTCAGGGTCATAGAATGGAATGCACTGTATATGCCTCTTTTACATCGGTATCAATTGACCGGCATTTATTGGGTCAGAATCTCGAGAACAGAGCTTTTGAACTGTAAAGAGCTATGGGACACGTACTGGTTGATTCTAATTATCTCTTTAGACCAGGTTTGAAGCAAAGAAGCTGATTTAGTTGCCTTTATTCCAAATTCACCGGTTATATAAGCAGCTCAGTTGGCCACGATTGAAACCACAGACACACCATATCTTCCCTCTCACATCCTCTCCCCTCAACCTTAGGTTGTGCTTCTGAGAAAAAAGTGTCAATCGTGTCATTCCAAGGAGCTCCAAAGACATACCAGATGAGGGGCGACAGAAATATCATGTTCTCGACATCAGACGACAGTGCGATGATGAAGCAAATTCTGGCCACCCATGCTCACGATGGTCGAGAGATTGACGTCAAACCTCTCATCCAACTCATCGGGGACATCTTTCAAACTTCACCCCCCACCGCCCCCACCGCCGTAGATGGCGTCATTGTACCTGTATTTCCCTCCTCTCTCGTTTCTTTTCTAACAGGCCGGTTATTTCATGTTTTGAGTTGATGATTAATTTGTTTTGTTTTCACTTGGGGTGTGTAGGCTGCGGAAACACATCCCATTGATGCGTTGGTTGACAAAACCCAACACCTTGGCTTCGTTGGCGTGATGGAAGCAGTGGCGTATACCATACATAAAATTTCCACCGAGGTAATTAATTAAAGCTACCAGTAAGCAGCTTAATTAAGCTAGAGCTCAATTCAATGAATTTTTATTTTTTATTTTTTGGAAACACAAACAGATATCGTACAAGTGCTCCGGGGGCGCAGATGCACATGCAACAACACAGTCGGTATTCAACATGGTATCAAGTTACACATGGGAAGCAAAGATGGTGCTAGCCTTGGCAGCTTTCGCAGTGACGTATGGGGAGTTCTCGCTTGTATCTCGGTTTTACCTCACAGACCAACTAGCCAAGTCAATTGCTCTCCTTAAGCAGCTTCCTGACATACTTGAGCATTCCGAGCTTTTGAAACCCCGGTTCGATGCACTTAGGAAACTCTTCATGTCTTTGCTGGATCTAACCAAGTGCGTTATCGAGTTCAGGGGGTTGCCCACCCAATACATCTCGTCCGACACACCGCCCATGTCCGTCGCCGTGAACCTTATCCCAACTGCTGCATATTGGACGGTCAGAAGTGTTGTCGCGTGCTCCACCCAGATCATTAGTCTCATTGGCTTTGGTTACGAGTATGTGATGATTTTCTGTTAATCGATCACTCTTGTCTTTCCATTAATTCTATGCATGTTTCCTACTTCTTAGAACTCCTGCTTAATTATTTGGTTCAGGTACGTGCCATCGACTGCTGAGGCATGGGAGTTATCCAGCTTGGCTCACAAGATCAGCAACATACTGGATCTCCTCAAGAAACAACTCCATCTTTGCTACCAACACATAGGTGAGTACTGACTACTCAACACAGACTACACTCTACAGAGTATATAGTAGCCAAGCCAATATGTATCCAGTATCCATTCCTCTTGTTTTTTTTAATTTAATTTAATTAAAAACCATGGTGGTGTGATGATGTAGACGAGAAGAGACACCTGGAAGCTTTTCAGACGCTTATTCGCCTTTTCGAGACTCCCCATATCGACAACACAAAGATTCTGAAAGCATTGATTTACGCCAAGGATGATTTGCAACTGCTTTTTGATGGCACCAGGGTTTGGATTTATTTACACCACACGCACTCTCTTTCACTCTCACTCTCTCTCTCTCTCTCTCTCTGGCTAGCAGAACTTAACTACCTTATTTTACACGTATGGTATCTGAACATGGTGACGATTCAATAGGTTGGACTTGATGTGCTGAGAAGGAAGAACGTGTTATTGCTAATATCGGACCTTGATATCTCTCGCGACGAGCTTTCAATTCTGGAGCAAGTGTACATGGAATCCCGACAACAACCCACCAGGCCGGAGAGTCAGTTTGAAGTGGTTTGGATTCCGGTGGTGGACAGGTCGTTGCCGTGGGATCAGTACAAGCAAACCGATTTTGAGCGACTTCAGACGTCCATGCCTTGGTACTCGGTGCACCACCCTTCACTGATCGATCCGGCTGTCATCAGGTACATCAAGGAGATATGGAACTTCGGGAAGAAGCCGATCCTAGTGGTGCTGGATCCACAGGGTAAGGTTGTGTGCCAGAATGCCATCCACATGCTATGGATATGGGGAAGTATGGCCTTCCCTTTCACCAGCAACAAGGAGGAATCACTGTGGAAGGAACAAACCTGGAAACTTGATTTTCTAGTGGATGGCATTGATCAACAGATCCTCAATTGGGTATTTACATCTCATCTCTCTCTCTCTCTCTCTCAAATACGTTTATATATAATATATACTCACACACAAAATCTCAAATTACAAGTTTTTTTATTTTATTTTACTACAACCATCAGATAGTCGAGGAACGATACATCTGCTTGTATGGAGGGGATAACCTTGAATGGATGGAAGCATTTGTGAATGCGTTACGAGCTGTTGCACTAGAAGACAACATCAGCATAGAGTTCATGTACGTGGGGAAGAGCAAGCCCAAGGAGCCACAGGCTAAAATCAACGGAGTGATCATGTCGAAGAAGCTGGGTCATTTCCTGTCAGAACGAGCATTGATCTGGTTCTTTTGGGACCGGTTGCAGAGGATGTATTACTCCAAGATGAAGCAACCCAGGAAGAACGCTGGTGAACATGACCACATAATGCAGGAGGTGATGACGATGCTGAGCTTTGATAGCAGCGACCAGGAATGGGCTGTCATCAGCAGGGGCTCCTTCGAGATGGCCAGAGCCAAAGGAGACCAAATTTTGAAGTCCATAAGAATGCACGAGGAGTGGAAGGAGCAGGTGGGCAGCAAAGGATTCATACCCGCGCTGAATGATCACCTGCATGGCCACCCCCCTGAACATCACTGCAATCGTCTCATCCTCCCCGGAACAGTCGCCAATATCCCGGAGACGGTGCCTTGTTCAGAGTGCAACCGCCCCATGGAGAAGTACGTCCTGTATCGTTGCTGCACTGATTGAAGAGCCATTTCTGAGGCTGATTAAATTAAATATTCATACTTCTTTGTGAAGGCCCGTCCTTGGGATAATATAGTAGTGGCGTTACTATCACTATAACTAGTTTGCCCTTGATAATAGCGGTGTTTGTTCGTGTGAGATTATTACCAGAGTCCTCAACCTATTAGTAGTATGAATTATTGGTATCAGTGTAATTTTATCATCATAGTCATCAGACTATGTTGTAGTTGTAGCTTTGTGATATTAATAATAATAATAATTATGCGAAGGCCTTTACTTCGGAATAATAATAATTAACTGCTCTTGTTCTCCGGTTCCTCTCTCTCTATCTATCTATCTATATATATATATAAATTTCAATTAATTTTATCATCATAGTCATCAGACTATGTTGTAGTTGTAGCTTTGTGATATTAATAATAATAATAATTATGCGAAGGCCTTTATTTCGTAATAATTAACTGCTCTTGTTCTCCGGTTCCTCTCTCTCTCTATCTATATATATATAAATTTCAATTACTTGTTCTACGTATCATGATTTGTTTTTATTGTTTTATTTCAAGTGAAGGGAGAAGGGCTTGATGAAGGAAGATTTGGTCCGATCTTGCAAATCACGGTACGTGGCAAAAAAGGCAAGCAACTCGGCACTCAAGACAGCATACCGAGGGTACAAACGCCAAAGGGAAGGGACCAGCAGGCTCGAGTTCCCTACATAGAGCTCGAACTCCCTAGTAAGAGGCTCGAGTTCCCTACTTAGAGCTCGAACTCCCTAGCAAGAGGCCCGAGCTCCCTACTTAGAGCTCGGACTCCCTAGCAAGAGGCCCGAGCTCCCTACTTAGAGCTCGGACTCCCTAGCAAGAGGCCCGAGCTCCCTACTTAGTGCCCGAACTCCCTAGTAAGAGGCCCGAGCTCCCTAGCAAGAGGCCCGAATTCCCTACTTAGTGATCGGACTCCCTGCGAGGAGCCCGAACTCTCCCTTTTGACCCCGTCACACAAAGCAGAGACCTGAACGGGCCCGTCTTATGACAGTTCGGGGCCTCCCCTTCTCCGAACTCGAGACTTTGCCTTACGCACCACTCCAGGCACTTCGCTTCCGGAGCATTGAACTGGACGAACCACGCC